GGTAGTGGCGCAACAAGCAGAAAAAAAAGCAACCCCTCATTTATAATGCAATATACAGATATATAAAATTAGACAATTTATCTGTCTACTTGGTGCCTTAAAAAAAAACACCACACACGCACACACACAACAGAAATGAAATCCCCAAACAAAACAAAAAAAGTTAGGCCTAACGTTAAATTCTACACATTATTGGATAATAATTGAAACCGACGAGAAGTTTATTTTCACTTGACACAGAAACATCGGGTGGTTCACGATGCTAACAAGGTAGAAACCTCTTGCGCAGTCTCTCAAACGCCAGGCACATTTCTCCACATTTGTCTTTGAGGCTGAATGGGGTGGAAGTGGGCAGAGCTGGTAGCTTAAGTGGAGTTCACTTCTGAGACACACCTCTAATGGGGTAAAGAAGTGGACAGATTGCCAAACTAATGAGTGGCGTCACTCACTCTGCTGAAGCAGCTAATTACAATGGTATCACTAGGTGACAGAGGATGTTGGGGAAGAGACCAAGATTTATTTATTTTAATTTTTTTTTAACATTCTGCTACTTATTACTTCCATTGCACTTCTTCAGTCCTTTCCTTTGGGCCAATCTAGTCCCTGGGCAGGAGACAACTTCTAAGTGGTGCAGAAAGAATGCCAACTGTAGTGAAGATGGAGGAGTGGGGAGACAGGCAGGACTAAAATCTTCTTCCTACCCACTGCTTCTCTGCTGCAAAAACTTCTTCCCTCCAGTCACCCGATACCTGTCTGGCAACAATGCAGAGTCTGCCAAACATCTAGTTTAGCTCTGTTATTAGAAAAAAGAAGTCCCGCTTTAATTTCTAGCAATACATCATATCTGGGGGAGAAGGAACAGGAAGATGCTGTTCTTTTACTAGCCTGGAATGTAAACATAAATGGGAATAGGACACTCCATGGCTTTGCAAGGTCTTTAGATATATAGAACAATGAGGGTCAAACTACACATTATGTTAAATCCTATTATGCTGTTTAAACCCTGCCTCTCACTTTCTAGTAAGCTGGCAAACCCACAATCTGGAGTTTTTCCAAAGGAGGTTTTTAGTCCCTTGGGAGGGATTTAAAACAAAATATAGCAGGGGTGGAGTTTTTATCCTCCCCATCCACACAAGTCCCACGCCAGGTAAGGCCCATAGATACTTACTGTGGAATAATGAGATTTAAAAAGCATGACATGTATTTAGCATCATGAAATTCAACCCCAAGTGGTTCGACACAGGTGTGTTCTAGTGAGGAACTGGGTACAATTTCAGATCTTGTTCACATGTTCCAACCTCTTGAATATATTTTTCTTGAATATGTTTTAGACCAAGGTATTCCATTTTAGCTGGGTCACATATGGAACCTTTGTTTTTAAAAGGTACAAATCTCCAATTTGTTGCTTTCACTTAAGATTCCTCAGGTGGCTACATATGGAACTTAACCCATTCTCTCAGGCTGTTTATAATGAATGGGTCTTTGGCTCTTCCCCTCTCCTGAAACAGGAAGAAAAACGAGGAAGAGTGTTTTATTCCTGTGTCTACTTTAAAGTGCATCATGATCCCAAGGAAAACATTTTGAAAAATAAAGAAGAGGAATGGGAGATATATCAGTTACCACGGCAGCTGGCTATTTGAGCACGTCATGATGCTTTGGGACATCAAGAGATAGCTGGAGGGGTATAACAAAAGGTTGCCAAATTTTGATGCTAAGTACCCTGTTTACCCTAAAATAAGACCTAACCTGAAAATAAGCCCTAGTATAATTCAGGATGATTGTAACATAAGCTCTACCCAAAAATAAGCCCCAGTTAAGTGAAACTCCCGTGGTGGCGCTCTGGGTTAAACCACAGAAGCTTCTGTGCTGCAAAGACAGAAGACCAGCAGTTGCAAGATTGAATCCATGCGACGGAGTGAGCTCCTGTTGCTTGTCCCAGCTCCCGCCAACATAGCAGTTCGAAAGCACGTAAAAAAATGTGAGAAGATAAATAGGTACCACAATGGCGGGAAGGTAACAACGTTCCGTGTCTAGTCACGCTGGCCACGTGATCATGGAAACTGTCTACGGACAAACGCTGGCTCTACAGCTTGGAGACGGGGATGAGCACCGCGCCCTAGAGTCAGACACGGCTAAACTAAATGTCAGGGGGATCCTTTACCTATGTGAAACCCCGCCCTCCATCACTGTGAAGCATTGTGCAGCAACCAGAAGATGACATGACTGTATTTGTAAAAATGTAGATTGTTGTACATGAAAAAAATAAAACATCCCCTGAAAATAAGCTCTAATGCGCTTTTGGGAGCAAAAATTAATACAAGACCATGTCTTATTTTCAAGGAAACAGGGTAGGTAGCTGTGTCTTTTCAAAGCTCCACAGCAAGCAGAACTTTGGAGCATGAAAAGAGAAGTGAAGACCCAACTGCTTGCCACAGCAGAAGTCATATCTGCCCATTAATATGATGGCAAGATATACTCCCCAAAGGTCCGAATACTAAGCATGTTTCTTGCAACACTGGACCCTTATTCGTATCCAACAATATACTATTCTGTGTCCTAGAAAGGTCCTGGAATGCAGCAATACCCTGTACTTGAAAGACGTTTGGGACAATGACAGGCCCAGGGCTAACTGTGATATGGCAGTGGCACACCTTTAAAGCACATGTTTACCTCAGTCATATATACAAAGACAAAGTGTTGCTCCACATTGTAGAGCAAGAGCTGTACATGAGGATGGGACACTGACCCCTCTGCCCTATGCCTATTTAACTTCTGCCATGTTCTCCCCACAGGCACGTTTCTTTTAGCCAATCTGACTTCCAATTCTGGGATGGGAAAGATGAATTTCTCTATTATTATTTTTTTAATGGGTCCTTCTGCTGCAGCACCTCCTGTCCTTTCAGGATGGCAGTGCCTATTACCTCCTTCACATATAAGTTTTTCTTCAGAAGCTTTAATATTGCGAAAACTACAATATCTTATTTGGCCATGGTTATATATTTCTGGCAACAGTGCACTTCAGTCATGCTTAGTTGCAGCTACCACACATACAATTTTTCACTTTGTTTGTGTATACATATATATGTTTTATATAGGGAAGTCACGTCATATGTGACCCTGGGGTGGAATGTAGTGCAAATGTCCACCCCTTGTATCTACACTAAAAACTCCTTGAAAAGTCATCAGAATTCATAAGTAAGAGGGTTGTTCATGCTTTTGTCTTAGGAAGTCAAGACCTGGAAAATTGTTTTAGATCTCTTTGAAACAAAAAAAGTTTCAGGCTAAAAAACCACTATGTGCAATTTAAGAGTCAAAGGAAAGTATATTTTCCAGCTTCCAGGTTTCCTAGAGCCTGGTGAATACTTACTACCAACCATTCACCATCCCATAATAAATTTGTGCCTTTTTATATATAACAAGGTAAAAGTCCTTGAATGTTTGTGATAACTTTTAAAAAATCAATTTGTCTTCAATCCTTCTGTTTCCCCCTGCCTTTTTTTTTTGGCACACACTTATTTTGATTTTCTGCTGTGTTCCCACAGTACAATTTTCAAGGCAGCTAAATGAATTATAATCTGGTTTTCTGGGTGGGTTACATCTGGAGGAGTGGTTGGGAATGGGTGCAATCCAGAGAACATCAACAGCTTTCAGCCTGAGCAGCCCAATGGGATACACAGTGGGACATCCTTGGTAAACTAAAATTAAAACACAGTCCCAACTTTATTGCAAATCACTGAGCATCTTAGCACATGAGAACAGAAAATAAAAAGGCAGCTTTTAACTGGAGTATAACCCCAGCAAAAAATGAGCCCTCTATATCATTGCATTGAAGGCAGGCTCAGTTCCTACCCATCTTCCCAAAGTGGAACTGGAGTCTTTTATTAGGACCACAGACCGGTGCATTCCTCTCCAAACCTAGTCAATAACACCAAGAAACATGTGTCCTTTGGCTGATGATATCTTGTGCCAGGTGGCTGCAGTGAAGGGAAGGATGCCTCTACGCTAAGGTGTTTCTTGAAGACCAAAACAAACATGACTCCAGAAATCCATGATCAAAGTTCCTAATTATTTATATGGGAAAAAAACTTGTAAGGGATTCTAATTTTGACCAGATTAGTAGTGGTGTGGGTCTTTAAACCCTGTGTGCACCACGTTTTCCAGAGATAAATTCTCTTCCTCTCCCAAAATGTTACACTTGTAGAGGAGAAAAGATATCAAAGAAGTAGCTATGTATTTCCCCGCAGAACCAATCATAGCTGGGTGTGGAATACGTTTCTCAGCACTGCTGCTCTGATCAACATCTCGTATCTAGGGTAAGATTGTTGGATTTCTCTTTTTTAAAGTTACTCATGGTTACTCCAGGTTCATGTCTACTAGCATCCTCAAAGACAAATGGAACTAGTTGGGTTTTCAGAGAGGCAGTGGTGTTTGTCAGTTTCAGCAAAAAATAAAAGCAAAAGCAAAAGTATTATGCTACCTTTAATGCTAACAGATGTATTTCTACATGAGCTTCTGTAGATTTCAATCCAATTTTTCAGGCAGAAGAGACTTCTGAAGAAGTGGATTGCAAGGCATGCAGAAGCTCACACTGAAATAATTTTTTCCATCTGAATAGTGTCACCATACCACTGGTGGTTGTTATTTTATTTATTTTTATTGTTGCTGAAAAAAGATGGGGCTTTTAAAAATCCTATTGCAAAGTGTTTAAGAACACTGTTTCTACCTCTTGCCTAGAATACTTGCTTGGACCTATGTTCCCAATCATGCTACTGGGGTACTTTGATACTATCCAGGAGGTGGTGGGAGGGGGAACTAACATCCTCTGTGCTACATAAGCAATTAAAAACAAGAACAAGCAGACAAGCATGTTGGGTACTGCCATCCCTGTACTGAATTCTGCAGTTTACTATATTCAGAAAACGAAGGAAGGAAGGAAAGGGAGAGAGGGAGAGAGAGAGAGAGAGAGAGAGAGAGAGAGAGAAAGAGAGAGAGAAAGAAAGAAAGAAAGAAAGAAAGAAAGAAAGAAAGAAAGAAAGAAAGAAAGAAAGAAAGAAAGAAAGAAAAGTCCTATCCTCAATAGGTGCTACACATTTTCTGAGCCTTGCTTGCCTGGGGAGTAGGGAGAGATGTGCTCAACTGCCATGGAAGAGTTCAGTTGCCAGCCAGAAGGAAGTCCTTTGAAATGACAAATGCCAGGCTTCTCAGTTCAGCCACTGCCATGTACCAGCACAGACATACAGGTAGTTTTTACACACATTCAGCCACCTTCCTGCCCCAGCAGTAGAGTGGAGAGGTGAGCCAGTCAAAATGCCCCATCCCAAGAAACACACAGGAACACTCCGTACATCTTTCACACCTTTGCCTCACAGCAGGCGGGCAAAAGCCTCCATTAGTGCAAACGGTTCCCTAAGCTAACATCACTGACAACAACTGGAAGAACGTCTCATTTTAAACCTTTAGCATGTGACAAGCACACACTCACACTCGCACGCACACATGCACACTTAAGCACACTCAGATTGCTTTAACGAAATCAAAGGCTCCTCCTTTCAGGACAGACGTAGGAGAGGAGAACATGCTTTCAAAGCTGCCCCCAGAATCCCAGTGGTCTCATAGCAGCAGAACTGTCCTTGTGGAGAAAGCGTTTCCTTCCTAATTGCTGGTCTAGCCGGCAGGTGGGGGGGGGCTATTGGTTCCCCAGTGCACCACAACCCCACTGCTTTCTCTCTCATGTGTACACACACACACATCCTACTGACAACTACAGAACTCCAACTAAGACTGGACAACTAGACTACATGGCACTAGGGAGGTGGAGTGGAAATACACACATGCCCTTCCCTCCCCCATCTGTCCATGGGGAATCTGCAACATGGAGGGCAAGCAGGATCAGGGTGACAGGCCAGAGTTTAGAGCTGCCCCTCCCCTGCCAAACAGCTTGCCTTGTCAGTAGTATTTGCAGCAAAGCATGGCAGAAGGGGATGGGGCAGGTATGGATGCGGGAAGAAAAAAAAGAAGAGGGTGCCCGCCATTCTGTAGAAAAAAGTGCAAAGTGGCTTCCAGCCCTGGGAGGCATGTCTCTGCACCCCACACTGTGCTTGTCTGAATTAAAAATGGGGGAAGGAGAGAAATGAAGGAAGAAGAGTTTGGGGGAAGCTGATTGGTTGAAAGCCAGGGCAGCGTGGGGAAAGGGGAGTCCTATCCGGCAGCTGCCTGGAGTCTCATCTGGGTGTGTGGGGCTGGGAGTGCCTGTCCCTCTCTTTGTTTCCTCTGGCGCTTACTTGCTCACTCACCCCCCTCAAAGTCAGCTGACCCGCTCTGACACAGGCGTCCTGGTATCCACGGCCTCATCCCTGTTTGTGGGCCGGGGCAAGGCCGCGGAGGACGACACAGTGTCTTTGCGCTCATGTTTGTATGGCACTGCTGTGCCGCCGGGCTGAGTCTTAGGTGGTTCCTTGGGACAGCCGTCGCTTTCTGGAGCCTTCTCCTCTTTACAGCTCTTGCTGCTGCTCAAGTCCTGGGGTTCAGCTGGAAAGCTCTTGCTGTCCTTGGGGCTTTCAGGGGACTGAGCAGGAGGGCTGCCCTGGGGCTCTGTTGGTGGCTGATGGGGAGTGTGGTGCTGATCCTTCTTGCCAGGGGAGGAGGAAGGAGCAGAGGATGGCACAGCATTGCCACCCCGCCCTTTTGGGCTGCTTTCTTTGCTGCGACGCCCAGGGCTCTTGGCAGCCGTCCGCTGTCCTTTGGGGCTCCACTCCCCGGTGTTGCTGGGGGGAGGTGGAGCTGGCTTGGTTATCTCTATGCTAACAGCTTCACGGGTCTTGCGCTTCTTGATGGGCAGCAGAGTCTCCCGGACAGCCTGGACCACAGGCTCCTTGACAGCTTTCTTTTTGGCTTCAGCCACTGCAGCTGCTGCCCCACTGCCTGGCTTACGGCCCCGCTTCTTGGGTACAGCCTGCGGGTCTGATTCAGATTTCCGTTTGCGTCCAGGGCGCTTGATGACCATGACCTGTGACGAGGTGGTAGCCCCGCCCGCGCCTTCCACCTTGGCCCCTGCGGCAGAGGACTGCAAAGGCATCTTGACCAGCAGCTTTCCGGAACTTTTCTCAATCACTCGCTTCACTTGGACGCCTTCCGAGGCAGCTCCTCGGGGCTTGGCAGAGCCACTGCCCTTTGGCCGTCCCCGTCCACGACCTGTGCCGGTAGTCTTAATGCTTTTGGGTTTCTTGGCAGGCTTTTGTTCTCGCCGAGAGGGGCTCCCGCGTCCAGTCACCGTGAAATCAAAATCATTAGGATCCAATGAGGTGTCGCCGACCTTTTCGAAGTAGGCAATGAGCTCCACTTTGGAGCGGAAGGCCTTGCCCTGGGGACTGTGGTTACAAGAGCCGGAGGACAACAAGAAGGAAAGAAGAAAAAGCAGAGGGAGAGAAAAATTAATGGCATTCCATTCCATTACAACATATAGACGACTCAGATTACCACATGCACTAAAAAGGGCTCCATTTTACAGGAAGCTCTAAATGATATCTGACTAATCCCAAAAGGAATTATCAGATTGTTAAAAAAAATGTATGACAAAAGGTTTGGATTTAAATATATATATTTATATTCTGTGGGGAGTGGTGACAGTAAAGCTGTCCTCTTTGCTTTGAGCTTCCCACTTCCCTGAGGAGACCTGGCATATTAACTTTGATTTCTTTAAAATCATGTTTTCTCACTTAAAGTCTTCCTCATGTTCTGTTGTTGCTTTGCACTTTAAAACTGATGAGAGAAAAGAAGAAAATTTGTCCCCTGCTTGACACAAGGACAACCCTATGCCTGTGATAGGTTCAGTTGTTCCGATGGAATCGAGTTTTTATATGTTAAGAAAGAGCTGGAGACACCGAACTCCAGTTCCCATCAGCTACAGCTTGTCAGTCAATGGTGAAGTATCATGGGAACAGTAGTTCACATGAAAGGCTTAAGGTTACCCACCATGACATAAGGGATGGAAAAGGTCTTTTTTTTTGGTATTTTCAGGCTAAAGTGCAAAAAAGAACATGTTACCTTTATTCATCATCTGACAATACCTGAAGGTTCTCAGTCCACAGAGTGCCTTGCTTTACTATTTGTTTTTTTAGGACCTCAAAGCCAGAACTGTGGTAAAGTCTGTCTGGGGGTTATGAAGGTTTCATATGGGAAAGGAAAGGAAACATGGGCTTAGATAAAGTGCATTTTCACATTAGTATTGCACAAGGGCAAAGAAAGGGCTTAGAAATCTAAAAAGAGAAATGTGACAAAAAAAAAAAAAAAGGAAAAATTTCCAAATGGTCAGGGTCCTAAACTGCAGATATTCTGATAGGATAACCTAAGGATGACCGAGTACTGATGCTGATCTTCTAAACAGCCTAACAACAGTCCTGCCAGGTCATACGACATTCGTTAAGACACTCTGCCAAATTTGAAATAATGGTCAGAATCCTACTGTTGTTTGTGAAAGGTTTGCTTAACTTGCCATGACTGACTGGATTGTATCTTGGTTATGCAATCAGATATACGACCAGACATGTTATCGGGACTTATCCTGGCACCTCTGTTAGCTGAGAAAAGTAATGCTATTCTTATGTGAACACCAATAGGATCATGGTCAATATTTTATTCATTTATGGTAGCAAAAAGACTTGTTAGCTGCAAATCTCTGCTAATAAAGCATAAATTTCTAATTACAGGGAGTGTAATATTATGTCAGAAAATACACTGTTTGAAATTTCAGAACAGATGGTGGTAGATTACTGGGAAAAATTAAAGACATTTACATCTTCTTATGCCCAGGTAAGCTGATTTTTTTTACGGGATGTACTATTACTGTGAAGGAGTGCAGAAATCACCTTTGCAATCAGGTCTTGCTCCTAATTTTTTTGTATTTACACCTAGCCAGATTAACCTCAGAGGCGCAAAGGACCCCTCTCCTAATTTAAAAGGACAAAAGCCACCAAAAGCTTTGCCCATAATAAAATTAACTGGACCTTCAATTGTGTTTTGTTTTATTATCATTTTTTGAAACGCTGATCATCAGTGTGAAAAGAAGATAGAGAAGATGCAAGAAACATTACAATGTTGTCTGGTTTCTCCATAAAGTATGAGTGAAAAAAGCCTTGCAAATGCAGAGTGAACGGCTTGTGTAGGAGCACCCAGATACGAATTCAGAACATTTTCCCCCACATTAACACACAAAACAAAGCCCGCTTGAAAACAGAGACCTAACCAAGTGGCAAGAAAATTGCCTACTTAGTTCTTAGCCCGCTGTGGTGACCTTCTATTTTCAGAGGATTTAAAAAGAGAGAGAGAGAACATTGAGAACTGTGATCCCCACCAGCAGTCTAAAAAGGAATGGGGGAGTCAAAATGCAGCAGAACTGTGCACATAAAAACAAACAGTGGGGCCAAATAAAAGGAACAAGAGTTCTAAGTTTAACTGGTCAATATCACAGCATGCAAATTGTCAGCAAGAGGAAATGTTTGGAAATCATGCTCTGTATTCTGAAAGCCAAATTATGTGGGGACTGGCTCAGAGCCCAGAAAGTTGTTTTTCAAAGTAGTTACTGCTCTTTGTTTTGAAAAGTAACTCCTTATACTCCCACTATTGAAAAGAAATGACAGTGGGTAATTTTAAGCTACTTTAAAAAAACAAAACAACAGAATGTAATAAGTGGTGGGCCGGTAGCAAAACGCATACTTAGTGAGGTTACACACAACCTGTAAACATAAAAGGAACTCAAACTAGCTCTTATTATACTGTAAAAGACGCAGTTATTCGTTGTCATGTTACCATGATAATGTAACTTAGAGCAAAAAGAAATTTGTAACAAATAACTAACTACAGTATATATATCCCGACTCTGGGCTGTTATGGTTTTTCAGAAAGGAAGGATACAGAACATGATCAGAGCAAAGTTATGGAAAGTTACTCTTTTTTTGGGACTACAGTTCCCTGAATACACTAGGTTACAAGACCAGTAGTCCAAAAAGTCAATTTGTCCCTCTCTGGCTCAAAGGCACTTTTCTTCCTCTGTTCCAGGACTGAATATGATTCAGACTCTGGACTGCACCAATCATGGGTTTGCTTTAAACCTTAAGGAGCAGCACATGTTGGGAGCATACACTCCCAGTACACAAATACCAGCTGTACTCACTTGATAAGGTATACATCATATTTTCCTGCTGAGCGACCAGACTTTCTTTGCTTCAGCTTCCTGGTCCAGCCTTCAGGCAAGGTGGGGTCATCGTACATGGGGCCACGATCCCGGATGACAGAACGGCGTTGTTTGGGAGATGCTGAAGCTTCTGGTGCAGCTGGAGCACTCCCAGCTCCTTCCAACATCTCCGCCTTGCCTGCTTCAGCTGGTTCAGCAGAAGGCTGTGCATGCTCATGTTGTTTTTCCTCCTTTCGCTCCTTCTTGGCTTTTTTGAGTTTGGGGGACTTGTCCTTCAGGCCCTGCAAGTCTTGGTCCTCAGATTTTTCTTCCCTGCGGAAGGGAAAAGAAAAAGTGAGCACCCAGCATGCCACAAAGCAAAATGGGAATAGAACAGAATGGTAGAGCAAGCACCAACCATACAACTCCAGCCAAAATCACTGTGATGTAGTCCTTTTGCTTTTATGTGATACACTGCCTGCTTGGGGATTCAATAACTAGGAACAAGAAACGTGGTACAAACAGATTACCCTACCAATGCGAGGAGCCTCCAAAAGAAGTAAAACTGAGTTGTATCTTTGGAGACACAAACCTTGTTTGAAAATTGCAATTTTTTCTAAAGATACTGTATTTACTATAGACAATAGACTGAGGCTGAACCTGGACAAAACAGAAGTCCTGCGGGTGGCTGCCTCCGGTGTCTGCAGCTTGGGGCCTCCCTCTCCTTTGGTAGGGGGCTACTTTCTCCGCTAAGGATGAGGTTCTGGACCCAGTGCTATCAATGAAGTCCCAGGTAGCATCTGTGGTCCGTTCCACCTGTTACATAACAGCACTGATGTTACCTGTCTGTCATGGGTTTGGAGGGAAAGTTCCATCCTATGGGGAGTGGAAGGCGGGACATCAGGAGGAGGGGCTGTACTGTATAAATATGTGATGCCTGTGTGGTGAAGAGGAGATGCTGAGACAGACTGTGAGACACTGGGTTGGGACGAAGCAGCAGCTGGGGAAGAAGAAGCTGTTGTGGGAGTCTGGGTGTCTGACAGGGTACTACTGTGTGTCAGAGTACCAACCTGAAAGGTTCAGGGGTCTGTGGGTTAGCCAGAACTGATGGGTTCAGGGTCTGTGCTTTAAGTTAAAGGTTCTAGGTGAACAAAACTGTATGCTTGTGTGTGTGAGAATAAGCCACGTTACTTTATTTTATTCACCCGATTGTTTTATTTACCCTGTTTGTATTTAAAATAAACCTTATTCTTTTATTGTTTAAAAATCCATCCCTGGTCTGTGTGACTTATTATAGGGAATGGTTGGTGGCAGCTGTCAGGCGCTGCCTGCTGGTGAGAACAGATTCTCAGTTGTTTGAAACCGCAGGGGTGGACGTAGGAATACTTGACCGTCAGTATAGGGGGCTGCGGGACACTTGTTCCCAGGTAACCCTGTGCCATCCAGATATTATTCCTAGGGAGTTTATAATCCCAAATGAGAGCATGAAGGTGGCAGGGATTGAGGGGCAGGTAATCTCTCTGCCAGTAGCAGAGGTACCTGTCAACTTTCAAGGCTGGAGGGGAGATTGGCGGCTAGCGATTTCATCGACTCTGCCAGCAGCCGTGCTCGTGGGAAATGACCTGGCTGAACATGTGAAACGGGTGCTAGTGATTACACGCTCACAAGCCACCACAGGGACAGTTCAGGGGGGTAATGATGAGCCAGAGACGGAAGCAGAGGGGAGTTCAGAAGCTGTGGTGGAAACCTTAACCACAGACAGCAGATTTGGACAGGAGCAAAAGGCAGACGCCACTCTCCAAAAGTGTTTTGAACAGGTGACTGACGCCCAGCTAACACCTGAAACCCCAGTGAGATTTCTGGAGAAAAAGGGGATTTTGTATAGAGAGACCCTGAGGAATATCTCAAAAGGGGGAGATGGGATCAGAAGTCAGCTGGTGGTACCTGAAAAGTATCGCCCCATGATCTTACAAAGGGGGCACTCTGACATGTTTGCTGCGCACTTAGGGGTGAACAAAACACAGCAGAGAATCACACAGAATTTTTACTGGCCTGACATAGGGAAGCAGATCAGGGAGTTCTGTAAACAATGTGATGTGTGTCAAAGGCAGGGGAATAGCCGCGACAGGACCAAAGCAAAGTTGTGCCCTTTGCCTGTGATTGACACTCCGTTCAAATGCATAGGGGTGGATATTGTGGGACCTTTGCCCAAGGCCACAAAGAGGGGGAACAGGTTCATTCTCACCATTGTGGACCATGCCACGAGGTACCCTGAAGCCATACCCTTGACTAACATTGAGACTAACACAGTGGCCGATGCTTTGGTGGGGTATATGTCCAGGATGGGATTTGCCTCAGAGCTAATCACAGATTTGGGCGCATCGTTCACATCAAAGCTCATGAAACGCTTATGGCAGATCTGTGGAATTAAGCACAAGGAAACCACTGCCTATCATCCTGAAAGTAATGGGTTAACTGAGAAGTTCAATGGGACTCTAATGCGCATGATTAGGGCTTACTTGGCAGAGAATCCAAACAATTGGGACCAGAAGCTGCAATCCCTTTTGTTTGCTTATCGATCAGTGCCACAAGCCAGTACCGGGTTTAGTCCATTTGAACTTCTATTTGGGAGACGGGTGAAAGGGCCCCTTGATTTGATCAAACAAAATTGGGAGCAGATCACCCAGGATGACCCACTAGACGTTGTGACATACATAGACACCTTGATGAATGACCTAAAGCGAAATCTAGAGCTGGCAGCAGAAAACCTGCAAGCGCAGAAGGTCAAACAGAAAACATGGTATGACCGCAAAGCTAGAGAGAGGCACTTTGACCCAGGGGAGGAAGTGCTTTGGCTTAGGCCCTGCAGAGAGAATAAGCTGCAGCTCAAATGGGCAGGACCATATAGGGTCATTTCCAAGATGTCAGACCTGAACTACCTTATAGAGCAGGAGGAGAACCAAGCAAGGAGGGTGGTTCATGTGAATGCCCTAAAACCCTACTACAGAGGGGAACAGAGGGTTCTATTTGCTATAAAAGCAGCTGAGAGTGAGGAAGCTGAATTACCCTTCTGGGAGGGTAGAGGGGAAGTAAAATACAACCCAGAGGAGGTCAATATCAGTCCTGCACTCACCCAAGACCAGCAGCAAGAATTAAAAATGCTGCTTAGTAAATATCAGCAGGTGTTTTCCAACAAGCCGGGGATAGTGAAGGGAGTGATGCATCGGATCCACACAGGGGATGCACCCCCGCAGGCAGTATCCCCATACCGAGTAACGGGACCCTATAGGGACAAGGTGCGGAAGGAGCTGGACGAGATGCTTAGGGAGAACATAATCGTCCCCTCTTCTAGTCCTTGGTCCTCTCCGATAGTCCTTGTGGACAAGCCTGATGGGAGCATTAGGTTTTGTGTTGATTACAGGAAGTTAAACCGTGTAACCACTCCTGATGCCTACCCAATGCCCAGGCTAGACAACCTGATTGAAACCATAGGGGGTTGTCGGTTCATCTCATCATTGGACCTGGTAAAGGGATATTGGCAATTAAGAATTGATCCCAGGGATCAAGAAAAGACTGCCTTTTGCAGCCCTTTTGGTCTCTATGAGTTTCGAGTCCTGAGCTTTGGTCTCAGAAATGCACCAGCCACATTCCAAAGGCTGATGGACCAGACCTTGGCAGGGCTCAGTGACTTTACAGTGGCCTACATTGATGACATAGGGATCTTCAGTAATACCTGGGAAGATCACCTGTTACACCTGGAGTTAGTGCTGCAGAGGTTAAGTGCAGCAGGGCTAACGGTAAAGGCCAGCAAGTGTCAGCTGGGTAGCCCAGAAATAAAATACTTGGGTCACATGGTAGGGGGAGGAGTGATAAAACCCCTGGAGGCCAAAATAGAAGCTGTTCGTGATTGGCCTAGACCCAACACCAAGAAAAAGGTCAAATCATTTCTTGGGTTGGTGGGCTACTACAGAAAGTTCATCCCGAGGTTTAGCGAGATTGCGGCTCCGCTGACCGATCTGACGAGGAAGACGGCTGATGACCGCATCCCGTGGACCAGCGACTGTGAGGCGGCGTTCCAGAGGTTGAAGGAGGCGTTAATCAACTATCCTGTCCTGCGTGCTCCAGACTTCGACCGGGAGTTCATCATCTACACCGATGCGTCTAACAGCGGGGTAGGAGCAGTTCTGTGCCAGGAGGATGAGAATGGTGACCAGCATCCAGTGTCCTACCTGAGTAGGAAACTTCAAAAAGGTGAGAGACATTTGGCAACCGTGGAGAAGGAGTGTTTGGCCATAGTCTACGCGATCCAGAAGGCCAAGCCTTACATCTGGGGAAGACATTTTATTCTGTGTACTGACCATTCACCATTGCAATGGTTAAAGACAATGAAAACCCACAATAGCAAACTTATGAGGTGGGCTTTGAACTTACAGGACTATGACTTTGAAGTGAAGGTGGTCAGAGGGTCAGTGAACTGTGTTGCTGACGCCTTATCAAGAAGACCTGAAGACTGAAGACGGCGAAAGAACATGGACTATATGTATATAATGAAAACAAAAAGTTAAAATGTACCTGGTTTTGAATTTGGTTGGTATTAATAAAGGTAAATTGATGTACTGTATATGGTAAAATGTTTAAATGCATATTTGCTATGGTTAACTTGGAGTGTAAGTATATGTAAGTATTATCTGGTATGTATAAATGTTGTTGTGTATTTTATGCAGGTTGTTTTTTTGGTGAAAAGCACTTTTAGCTTTCCCCCTACAAAACAACTTTTAAAGAGGGGAGGTGTTACATAACAGCACTGATGTTACCTGTCTGTCATGGGTTTGGAGGGAAAGTTCCATCCTGTGGGGAGTGGAAGGCGGGACATCAGGAGGAGGGGCTGTACTGTATAAATATGTGATGCCTGTGTGGTGAAGAGGAGATGCTGAGACAAACTGTGAGACACTGGGTTGTGACGAAGCAGCAGCTGGGAAGAAGAAGCTGTTGTGGGAGTCTGTGTGTCTGACAGGGTACTACTGTGGGTCAGAGTACCACCCTGATAGGTTCAGGGGTCTGTTGGTTAGCCAGAACTGATGGGTTCAGGGTCTGTGCTTTAAGTTAAAGGTTCTAGGTGAACCAAACTGTATGCTTGTGTGTGTGAGAATAAGCCACGTTACTTTATTTTATTCACCTGATTGTTTTATTTACCCTGTTTGTATTTAAAATAAACCTTATTCTTTTGTTGTTTAAAAATCCATCCCTGGTCTGTGTGACTTATTATAGGGAATGGTTGGTGGCAGCTTAGTAACTGTGTGATAGATCCCAGTAGCATCTGTGGTCCGTTCCAC